ATAGTGGGGTATATAAAAGTAGGGTGGAGGGTTGTCTTAAGGTCTCCTGGATTCTGCTGAAGGAATTATTTAATAAAGAATGTAGGCTCTGGAACCAGACTGCCTGGGTTCAAATCCTGGCTCTAATCCTTACCAGCTATGTGGTCCTGGGCAAAATACCTAACTTCCTTATGTCTCAGTTCTCTCATCTATAAAATGGAAATAACATTATCACCTGGATTAAATTAGTTAATACAGAAAACATTCATAACAGTGCCTCACACATAGTTGTGTTAGGTAAGTATGAATCCNACTCTGTGAGGATTAAATTAGTTAATACAGAAAACATTCATAACAGTGCCTCACACATAGTTGTGTTAGGTAAGTATGAATCCCCATCCTTCTTGATATGAGGCTGAGGAGGAGACTGCAGACACTAACAGAAAAGGCCAAGGAAACTCTATGGATGGCTAAGAAGTATCGGGGTAGGTGTCATCTCTGGAAGGGTAAAACCCAGAGGATGACAAACAGCAGCTGTGGGAACAGATAAATCAGGCATAGCTCTGGACACAAAAGCAACCAAAACCAAGGAGTGATGATTCCTAAAACCAAGATTGTTTCAGAATACTGAAACATGCTCCTGGGCTGAGGAAAGTGGGCCACAGCAGGTGAGCACCCTGTGGTGGCTCAGGTGATACACCACCAAAAGCTGCCTTTTCCAGGGAAAAGTGATCACCAGAACCCAGATGAATGAGTGGGATGGTAATCAAGGCCTTCTAACAGGCAACCTCGAGAGCTCAGCATTTCTCCAAACACCTTCTGGGCTGCCTAGAGATGGGAGCCAAACCCTTTTAGCCAGCCTGGCCCTTGATGCCAGGGCAGCATCAGGCAACCGTTATTCTACACCAGCTCAGTCCCCAGGGGCAGGGCTTTTAACTTAAGTGCCATAGGCAGATGTAAGGAGTGTATATATGTGTGGGCATTTTTATGGACAGGTTCCAGAGCTCTCCTTAGATTCTCAATCCAAAAAAGGTTAATAACCACTACTCTAACAAGTTCTAATTGCAAATTATAAAACCTGAAAGGACTCAGGACTTTCTTCTCCATTCTCCATCAGACCACAGACTCTTCCACTAAATTGTAATCTCCTTTAGAACAAAATCACAAAAACTGTCCTGTGTCTCATTCACTATTGTAATCCCAGGCCAAACACAGTGTTAAAAAATAAAAACACCCTGACCAGTGTGGCTCACAGTGGTTTAGCGTTGACAAGTGTGAACCAGTAGGTCAGGGTTTGATTCTGGGTCAAGGAACATGCCTGGGTTGTGGGCTCCAATCCCCAGTAGGGGGAGTGCAGGAGGCAGCCAATCAATGATTCTCTCATCATTGATGTTTCTCTCTCCCTCTCCCTTCCTCTCTCTAAAATCAATAAAAAGGGAAAAAATATTTTAAAAAGTTAATTGGCACCCAGCCGGGCGTGGCTCAGCAATTGAGCATCAACCTAGGATCCAGGAGATCACAGTTCGATTCCTGGTGAGGGCACATGTCTGGGCAGCGGGCTCAATTCCCAGTTGGGGGGTCTGCAGGAGGCAGCCGATCCATGACAACTCTCTCATCATTGATGTTTCTATCTCTCTCTCTCCGTCTCCCTTCCTCTCTCTGAAATCAATAAAGATACTTTTAAAAAATAATTAAAAATAAAGTTAATTGGCCTAATTAATTAATTGGTGCTTGTATCCCTTCCAGCATCTCTTCTCTAGCTGCCTTTTCTTCTGAGGGGCTTAAAACATTTCAGAAATTCATTTCTGTAAACAGTTACACTATGGGAATGCCCCAAATTTACTAAAGCTCAAAGTGACAATTTCATAGTCTAACAACACATTTATAGTGGGCAGAGAAATCAGACCTTCCTCTTCCACTTCCTTCCACCAATCACCATTGCTGTAATAAAGAATAAAAACAGATCTGCTGCCCACATTTCCACCCTGCTCAAAGCCAAAAACACACAATTATAGGCAGAGATACCCATATGCACACATATAAGCACACATGCCAACACATTAAATCAAATCAGTCAGTCCTGTGAAGGTACTGACTTGAGAAAGAACTACATTTGAGAATGATTAAAAGGATGACCAGAGCCAATACCAAAAGCTGGAGACAAGGAATCCTGCAAACACTGACAGGCAATGCTGACGATCAGTAGCATGACAAGGCACATGTGCCACCCCTCAGCCAGGACTGCTTGGGGCAGCTCATAGTGGGAGCCCAGGGGTTGCTGGATTGGATCACTTTTCTATTCTGAAAGTAGCCTATACTCCCTCATCTTCTGACTTATAAAGCCAGAGCAGACAGTTTGCCTACTCAAAGGAGGAAAAGACAACATGCTCTTGACTCTTTCACTGTGAAGATGGGGCCAAGGGCTCTGAGGGTAGTCTTCTCATGCAAACAGTTCTGTTCAGTAGAGCCTGAGTCAAATGAAAACTGCACTCCCTACTAGAAAGCAGAAAACTCAACTTGATCTCTATGCTTCACTCTATTTCGATCCAGTTCTACAGCCCATGTTCCAGCTGCCCCACACAAAAAATCCTGGACCCAGGGTGGGAAGAGTTCATACCGGCCTGTTCCCAACAGAGGGCTGAAGATGTTGAGGAGTATGAGTGGCACTGTGGAAATCAGAAACCAAGAATGTAAGCTGCCTGGCCAAAGACTGTAGTCATGAGGTTGGGAGGAAGGCAGGAATCAGGTGCCCCAAAATGGGCTCTCATGACCTAAGAACACTCTGAACTCAAAGTCCTTCATGGCTCTTCCAGTCCAACACAGTATTCCGGCCTTTCTTTTCATTCAGATTCCCCAAAATTAGAGCCATAAGGGGCTTCAGAGAATATCAAATCCAAATCTCTCCTTTTAAGGATGAGGAAGCTCACGCCCAAGGTCACACAGTGAGAGATGGCAAGAGAACCTGGTTCTCTTGATTTCAGTTCAGGGCTCTTCCCAGTAAGTCCTACAGAGTTTTTAGCAGCACACTCCTCTGGGTTTTTCTCCATCTCTGACCTCACCCTTTACCTTCCCAACCCCTCCATTCCCACCTTCTTACTCCAAATTCGCAAGGCTGGGTGCCCGCCCCGAGCTCGCCGCGCACCGCGGAGGGCATTCCTCCACGTGTTTCCATCAAACCTCCCACCCACCCAATTCCTTCTTTCAGCTCCAAACCCAGTTGGGGCCCTGCCCCCGCCCCCAGCTCCCTCCAAAACTGCACCTCCTCCTTCGCCCGCACCCCAGCCCCGCACCCGGGACCGCCCGCCCAGAGGCCCCACCCCTCGCTGACCCTACTTCCCTCCGCAGCTGCACTCACGCCCCGGCCCCTCTCACCGGTAAAGCCGCTTAGTGTGAAGGACTTTTGCTTCGGGTTCGCTGCTCTCCCCTGCGGCAGGGCCTTGGCTCATGGTGCCCGGATCCGGGGATGGTTCCCGGTCACAGGCCCCCGCCGCCCACCGCTACAGCCACAACTACAGCCTCCGACCGTAGCCGCAGCCACCACCACGGCCGGCCCTGCTCGGCCGCCATCGCTGTGAGGCGGCTGCCCGCGACAGCTCCTCCTCCGCCTGCCAAATCTCGCGATAGCAGCTGCACATTTGCACGCCAGTGACCTACTGCTACCAAATCTCGCGAGACTTGTTTTCCCTCCCGGGAAGTTGCCCGAACTAACTCTGGGCGGTGTAACCTCTTTCAGGCTTCTTCAAGCCCTTAAGAAAAACTTTATTGATAAAGCTATTGGAAAACGGACAGTGGACCCAGACAGCGGGCTGAAGCTAAGCTGGATGGGGTAGATGGGCTCATGCTGGGAGCTGGGAGCTAGGAACGTGACTTTGCTTTGTCCTACAGTGGTTATTTAGTCCATCATTCTGCTCCTCCCCCTCCCCCCCATTTGAACCAAGTCTCTTTCAGATCGCTGGTTAGAGTGATTCCAAGCCTCCCTTTTTTCCATGGTTTAAACAAAAAAAGTGTACATGACAGTGTTCTTGTAAGAGTGAGGCCTTCCAGAACATGACTCTTGTACAAACGCCTCGGCCCTTCAGCTCTCCCTCCCAAAGATTTCCAGTCCCGCAAACATTTATTGCACACCGCTGTTTTCCAGCAGCAATGCTGGGTTCTGGGGACACAAAAATGAGCAACCCAGACACTCCCTCCCTCACAAAGCTCAAATTACTTTAGAGGTAAGGTCCCACAGGAATGATAAGCCACTCCCTCACGTTTCTGCCCCCCTGGTCCTCCCACTGGAAGTATCACCTTGGATCCCTACTGCTTTCTTTACCTTAAACCTAAGCTAAAAAGCAAAGGATTGGGGGGGAGGGGGAGCTGTGTACACGTTGTAATGGGAAAAAATTCCCCTTCAACCACTATGATCCTGGTTCCAATCACTGACCTTCTTTCTGTTCCTGAAACAGCCTAAGTCTTTCCATTCATTCATCTTTCACTTTCTATTCCTCTGCCTGGAACATTCATACTCCTCATTTCCCTTCAGGTCTCAGCTCAAATGGCACCTTGGCAAAGAGGTTTTCAGTAATGAAATTGCCTTATTGATTTATTTGCTAGACTTCATTATCTGTTACTCCAATAGAACAAGCTCCTCAAGAGCAGAGACCTTGCCTGTCATCTTTTTCTCTTCCCTATCTGTGCCTAGAATAGTGCCTAGCTAATAATAGGTGCTCAATAAATATTGAATGAATAAGTGCACAAATTCCACCTCTCTTCTGGGTATTCCAACCTCCTCCAAGAACCCTTTGATGCACAAACCCAATGGTCCCCCTCTGTTGCCCCGAGCTCCTGTACATCCCATTTGCCTAGAACACACAATTCTATGCCCAACCGCACCCCCACTTTCAGGAAGGATGACGTCCTCTAATGCTTTTTCTGTCGGCAGGCAGATTCAGCAGAGCAGGGCCTGCCCCTTTAATCTGGGCCCCACCTGCTCTGGTCAGACTGGTTTGGAGACACAGGTAAAGGGAGAGAGAGAAAGGAATACTTGCAGAGCCAGCAGGGAGCTGAACAGCTCCTTCTCGGAAGCTGGGGACCCTCCACGTCTCTCCAGATGGAAAGTAAGAGGGTGTCATGGGTCCAAATGGCAAGGGGTAGGAGGCCCTTGAGGAGGTGAAGGGAGGGGATCAGCCCCATCAAGAAGCAGTCAGACAGGAAGGATGGCAGGGAGAGGAGAAAGACAGGGGAAGAGTCACAGAAAACAGCCATGATTGGACCTAGAAATCAGAATGCACATAGACCCTCCGGAGATGGATGAGGTGTGCTAGTGAGGTGTTTAGAAGTTGCCCAAGTACCCAGACTGGAGACTAAAGACAGGGTGCACTGCTACTGCCAGTTCCTTTGAACATATTTGTCAGTAAATCGCTGGTATTAGTTGCTAGTAGAGTTCCAAGCAGGGATCTGCAGAGAGAAGGGAAGGTTTGAAGGTGAAGGGGCAGCCTCTCTGTCCACAAGGAGATTCTTAGTGGTTAGGAAGCTCTTAACAAAATTCTAGGTACCTCCCATTCCTGCATTAGGGTGGCAATGACCCCAGGGGTTTTGGTGGAGGCCGGTAGAAGGCGTGGGTGGGGACTGGCTAGGCCATAGCTGACAGGGCCTGTGCCCCCTGACTCACCCTTTCCTGCTGGACTGAATTTGATGTCAAAAGGGTTCCTCCATTTTAGCTGCTCACTTCCCTCCTGCCTCCCTCTCTTTCAACACCGTCCTCTGTACAATGTTCTCCCTAAGGTCCCAGGAGGGGCGAAAGCCCATGAGGTCAGCTGCCCTGGAGCATTCCAGTTCTGTCAACCCATCCTAAGGGCCCAGAGGACAGGAGCTTCTGACAGAGCTTTCCTCTGCTAACCTCCACAGTGACATGACCTCAGGGTAGATTCCAGAACTGAGGCCCCAGGATGACAGAACCCGAAACCCTGGTCCTGCTGGAAGTGAAGAGGCCCGAGGCCCCGGAAAAGAGCCCACCCCAGGCCTTGGTCCCCAATGGCAGGCAGCCGGAAGGGGAAGGTGGGGCCGAGTCCCCCGGTGCTGAGTCCTCTAGAGTGGGCTCTTCAGTTGGGTCTCCCACAGCTGAAGAGGGGGCTGAAGACGGTCTAGACAGCACAGTAAGCGAGGCTGCCACCTTGCCCTGGGGGACTGGCCCCCAGCCAGGTGCCCAGTTCCCGGATCCCCCTGGCTGGCGGGACATTGAGCCCGAGCCCCTTGAGTCGGAGCCACTCAGCAAGCTAGAGGAGTTGCCTGAAGATGATGCCAACCTGCTGCCTGAGAAGGCGGCCCGGACCTTCGTGCCCATCGACCCACAGTGCATCGAGCGGCGGCCCCAGGAGGACGTTGTTGTGCGCTGTGAGGCGGCCGAGGGGGAGCGCCGCCGGGCCTTCCTGCCCGCCCGGACCATCCAGCCTGAGCCTTCCGAGTGCAAGTGGGCCGAGGCCGTGGCGCGGCCGCCCGGCCACTCCTGCGGGAGCTGTGGGGGCCACGAGGGGTTAAAGGCCGTGGCCTCGGTGGGAGCCGCTCTCATTCTCTTCCCCTGCCTGCTGTACGGGGCGTACACCTTCCTGCCCTTCGATGCCCCTCAGCTGCCCACCATGAGTTCCCGCCTCGTCTACACGCTGCGCTGCGGAGTCTTCGCCACCTTCCCCATCGTGCTGGGTGAGCCGGGGCCCTGTGAGAAGGAAGGGGGCATCTGGGAGCCGCACTTGAGGTCAGGGCCTGCCTGGCCTGGGGAGCAGGGGTTTCCCTTCACTCAGCCTGGACCTTCAGGGCCTCACACACCCTGCCGCCCTGTGTGCCCGTCCCCTCCCAGGCCCCCGAGTCCCACTGTGGAGAGCCCCTGCCTGTGAGCTGTCCACTACAGACCCTGCCCCTGCTTCCTGCCTACGGTTCTACTCTGACCTTGTGTTCTCTAC